AAAAAGCTAAAAGGCGTTTATGAAACAAATATCAAAGTGACAGAAGCAAACTCCTGCTTATTAGTCTTAAGAGATTTCTAAGAGACTTCTGACATATGCTACAGCATGAACCACCCCGAGGGACAACACACTGAAATAAACCAGTCACGAAAAGACAGACACCGTACCATTCCACTTATATGAGGCACTGAAAGTCCTCAAAATCAGTCAGAAAGTGGAAAGTGGCAACCAGGGGCTCTGGGAGGAGGGACTGGAGAGAGATTTTTTAAAATGGGTTCAGTTTCCATTTTGCAAGATGAAAAATGTCCTAGAGATGGAAAGGTGGTCACGTCTGCACAATAACCTACAGGTAGCTAAGACCACCAAACTGTATACTTAAAAAAATGGTTAAGAAGATAAATTTTAGGTTAAGTGTATGTTCCCATAATAAAAAGGGAAATGTGCACACAAAAACGTGTATGGCAATGTTCACAGCAGCATTAATTACAAAATAACCCCAAATGGAAATAACAAATGCCCATCTATGGATGGATATATAAAAAAATGTGTTCTATACATACAATGGAATATTACTCAACAATAAAAAGGAATAAAGTACTGATACATGCTACAATCTGGACGAACCTTGAACACATTATGAAAAGTGAAAGAAGCCAGCCACAAGACTATATGATACTATTTATATGAAATGTCCAGAAGAGGTGAACCAACAGAAACACAGTAGATTAAGGGTAGCCTAGAGTTGGGGAGTGTGGTGCTGGGAGAAGATATGGGCTGGGTGGGAGGTGACTATTATGGGCATAAGGTTTCCTTCTGGGGAAATGAAAATGTACTAAAATTAGATTGTGTTCAATAGTCAAACTAGAACCAGCCTAGGTGTCCATCCATGGATAAATGAAGGAAAGAAAATGTGATGTATATACACAATGGAGTTTTATTCAGCCATAAAGAAGAATGAGATCATGTCATTTGTGAAAAATTGATGGAACTTGAGAACATTCTGTTAAACAAAATAAGCCAAACTTAGAAGGTCAAGGATCATACACTATCTCTCATATATGGAAGATAGATAGGAAGAAAGAAAAAGAAAGGTGGGGACAGATCTCATAAAAAATCAAAGGGAGACCAGTAGAACAGAGGAAAGAGACCAGGGGGAGGGAGGAAGGGAGAGAAAAGAGAAGTACTGGGAATGATGTCAGCTAAATCATATTAGTATATATATATATATATTGTGTGTGTACAAATATATAAAAACAAACCCCACCATTATTTATAATTATAATGCACCAATAAAAACATGGAAAAAGAAAGGAGAGAAATCACAGGCTCCCTTTAAAAGAGAAACCCAACATAGCTACAGAGAATACAGTTGGAAAAACAGAATTTTCAAATTGACATGAAATCAATGATTTTACAAAAATACAAATAACCAAATATAAATAATCAAAATAACCAGAAAAATATAAATACCCAAAATCGACTCCAAAAAGAACAGAAATTATCTAAACAGACTGGAAATCATATAATAAATTGAGATCTCATCCTACTGTCCTCCTTCCCCTACCCATGGAAATAAACCAAGACAGTTTTATGGGTGGGAGCCATCAACATGTTATATTCATTTGTGTAAAAAGTATCTCAGATCTTAAAATAAAATGAAGATTATCTCAACTCAGTCTATAAATCCTTATATCACCATTTGGAAAGGTTAGATTTTTTTTTTAAGGAAAAAACAAACAAGAAAACAACCACTAAACACCCCAAGAGAAATTCAAGATGGCGGGCTAGAGGAGGACTACATTCCTAGATGCTCATGGCCTAGGGTTCAAGCAGTGGGAATACTGCTTCTCAGCACAGTGGGCAAAAGGGGTTTCAGTAAAATTTAATATTGGACAGTCAGAGTTCTTAGAGACTCAGAAATTGAGTGCATTGAGAAAACAAACAAACAAACAAACAACAAAAAAAAAACTTCCTCCAAACCAAAAAAACCAAAAACTTATTGCTCAGTCCATGTTTAGAAATACATAGACAAAAGTGCTACATCAAAATTTAGTAATATAAATCCAAAAACTTTTTAAAAGAATATTTCTTGATTCAGTCTTATGTTATTGGAGAGTTACTTTAAAAAAAGAAAATGTCCACTATATGTTAAATTGTAACCAGTCTATCCTTGTGAGGTATACAATGATATTTTCAGTGTTTGACATGACAGAAAGAAGTCTGAGACACCTCAGTATAACCCAGTATGCTTGCTACCGAATCTTGTTGTTTTTTTATTTTTTTGGTGCTGGGGATTGAACCCAGGGCTTTGTGCATGCAAGTCAAGCACTCTACCAACTGAGCTAAATCCCCAGCCCCAGAATCATATGTAACATGTAGTTTCACTCACTTGGAGAATGTGCAATTGACATAAAAAAAATTAGTTGGTGTTCACAGATGCACAATTAAACCCATTGGCCTTATACTTCAAACAGGTGAACTTTTATGGTATATGAATCACACGTCAGCAAAGTTGTTGCAAGGGGGGGGGGAGTTTTATCTGGAAAGAAAAAAAAAGGATGATGTAAAGGCATATTCCCAGCAAACTCACTAAAACAGATATTACAGGAGGGAGGATATGACACTGGATAGAAACCTGGAGATATAGGTGGGAATGGGGAGCAGTATAAAGGTGGGTGGGTCCAGCTATCAGTAAGAAGAGGCGTCAGGCTAGAGGACCTGGGCACCACTAGCAGGAGCACACACCTTAGCCCTGGCCCTGTCCCCCCATGGAGCTCCATCTCCTTCCAGCCAGGGGTCTTTGAGATGCTGACCCCTCTGCTGGAACATGATATTCCCTGCCCTTCCCCGACACATTAGGGTCTCTTGCAACTGAATGTGATGTGCCTGTCAACTCTGTGTGTGTGTGTCTGTGTGACTCTTTGATCAAGTGCCCTTTACAGATGTGTGCCTGCTTACGTCCCCAGACATCTAATCAATTTTTCCTTTTCTTGGGGAAAATGATGAAAATAAATTATGACTTAACTATTGTTCTCCAGTGAGTCACGTCAGGATCTGCCTGTTCCTTTTTTTGGAAAAAATAAGTTTCACATTATTGAGGCAAATGGAATGTGTAATGCTCACAGAGTTCCTGTGAGAAATCTCTGTTCAAAAACCATGCCAGCTCACTGTTTAATGGTATTATTATCCTCAACAGCCAAGGGACCTGCTGCTGTACCCACCCCACAGAGAATCTCACCACGATCCACCCTCTCTCCCTCAAGGAGCCAGAGGACCACCTTCCCTGCAAGCAGACACCTAGCCACATGCAGACCTCCTGTGCCCACCTGTCAGGAAGGACTGGAGGAGACAGAGCTATACAAAAGAAAAGAAAGCAAAGAAATCTCATACACGAAGGGCTGAAACAAGAGAATACTCTAAGGATAAGTGACAAGCTTTAAACAGGACAAGAAGCAAGAGTAAAAGAACTTATTGGCTGCTCAGTTTTAAAGTTTCCTAGTATCTTATAATTAATGTTTTGCTTTGTTTTTCAGTATTGGGGATTGAACCCAGGATGCATTACCACTGAGCTAAATCCCTAACCCTATTTTATTTTTTACTTTGAGACAGGATCTCACTAAGGTGCAGAGGCTGGCCTTGAACTTGCAATCCTCCTGCCTCAGCTTCCCCAGCCACTGGGATTACAGGCGTACGCAATGGCACCCATTTAGGTTTATCTTTTTATAAAACACTGAAATAAGTCTTGACCTAAAGAAGTGAATCACCCCTTTCTTGCTAAATATGTAAAAAAAATCGAAGATAATCTATGAAAATTGAGAATATGTGCTAGCAAAGCACTGCCACGTGGTGCGTGCTTAACACACCCTATTCTGTGAATAGATGAACCGCAGGCGCTCCTCAGTGGCTCTGGCCAGATGAAAAGAGTCGCTTCCTTCTAAAGGTGAGATGGCATCAACCTCCCACCTGCAATTCCCAGTCCACCCAGCCCTCCAGTGCCCCAAGGGCAGACTTCTAGACCAAGTTCTCCTGAGTCTTGCCTACCGTCCCATTAGACATCCCCTACCCTACAGCTGTGCAGAGCTGCAGTCTGATGGGCTTTGCAGACCCCTCAGTTAAGGAGTAAAGGAAAGTGGAAGCAAAGGAGGTCCCTGCTTAGAGGCTTGAGGCTCCCCACTGGCCATGTGCAGGACAAGGATACTGAGGGCATCTAGAGAGAACAAGGAGCAGGCCACAAGCCCCTGGGCTGTTTCTTTTGCAAAGTAATACCACCACTTCCTTCCAACTCACTCAGCCATCCATCAGCACGGTTTATAAGCATATAAATAGTATCTTATATAAGATAAACTATACTAGTTTCTGAAACTTACTTATATAACAGCTGATTTAGTGGTATTCAGAGTCCTTATAAATGAACAAAGTATGTTTCCTAGCTAGGAAGGCACGGGCTTCTAACACGGTGTAAACTCATCTATCTGCACATCTGTCTGTGTTCCCGCAGGCACCCAAACCCACACACTCTCACACCTGAATGAAACCCACGTCTCAGCAGCGATGCAGGACTGTGTTCACGAGAGCAGCCTGTTTTTCACCTATCCAGAGGTGAATGTTTTCATATGAGATTTCAAAAACATTAGTTTAGACATTTTCAGGTTATTAGAGTTTTAAAAAAAATCTATTAGAGACTTTTACAAAACCATTATTTCAAAAATAGCTAAGTGTTGGAGCGTCAAACTCCACAACCTTATTTTAGAAATTCTATTTGCATAATTCTTGGGGGAAATATAAATTCATTCCAATGCTGGGGAGTATCTTGCAAAGATGCCACTTAACTTGGAACTTTCAATCTCAGGGTGCAAGCTGTACCCAGTGCCGACAGTTGAGCACACGAGCAACCAATGGGACCCTGGAGTCCTGGATACAAGGGACAGTTTTACAAGGGCTGGCTTGTTTTTCATTTTGTAACTTCACTAAGGTAACACACTCCCTTATTTCTGTGCATATATATCAAGATAATGCCTGTTTTCTAGATTAGCAATTTTATTGCTCTTTTTTTTTTTAAAGGAAACAGTAACAATAATGACTTGCTGCACAGAACTTTACCCAGTAAGCTGCCCTGTTGTGTTCACAAGGAGTCCTTGAGCTATTGGGTCTCTACCCCTATGTAACAAGTCTCTACTCCTATGTTTGGGGATGGACCACCTGCCCCAAGGGTCAAGCATCCCCTCCTGCTGCCCAGAGGTAGGTGGATCCTTCCAAAGATGCAAGATCAATTTTCCAAGACGATCCACCTAACCAAGGGATGGGCGGATGTAACGATCACCAGATGGACAGAGGCTGCGATACTGGGATTTTCCATTTGAGGTAGGAGACATGCGATTTATTTATTTAAGCTGAGCTAATGAGTTTAAATCAAGCCAGAGCTCTACTCCCCTCTGCACCACCAGGCACAGAATTAAGATGCACTGAGAGCCACACACCTTCCAGGGATAAGGTCACCTATAACAGGGCCAGGTGGCCGTGTGCAGGGGCGCTGGCCTCTGCTGGGCAGGAGCTCCAGCAGGGTGTCACCCACGGCGGGGTCTGTCAGCTGGGAACGAGCCCTTGGGTGCTGAGCTTTGAATAATACTTCTAATGTCCTTTGACTTTGACCTCTGGCTGCCCTCCTCCTATTCAGAGCATATCAATGATGCCTTGCAGATCCAAAGAGCAAGCCAGGAGAGCGAAAGTACAGCGCTCTGTTTACCCAGTCCTCCTGGGTCTCTCCCTCTCGCCCTCTCGAAAAGCAAACAAAGGAAATCATTATTTTGCTCCAGAATCCACATAATTCAAGGAGACAGAATAAAGTCTGTAAGGAAGGGGGGGGTCACAAACACCCTAGAACCGGAGACAGTGGATGCGGAAGACCTCGGCCCCAAAGAATGAGGGCCACCCAGGCCCTGGCAGTGGCGGCACGGCCTCCCCTCCCCTACAGCCCCAGCCCCCACCTCTTGGCTCACAGGGGGCGCACCTGGGGTCGGGCCTGACGCATTGGTAAAAGGCAGCCATCTTCCTGACGGTGGAGTGAGCCTCTGCCTCTCTCATCCTCCTGAAACTGGCAGCAGGGAGAAGAGCAGGTCTCCCTGAGGTGCTGCCAGGGCCCAGGGCTCTTGGGACACCACCAGACACTGGGCAGGAGCCCCAGCCCCTGTTTCCTGGGCAGCTCCAGTGGGCCTGGTGGCACCCACCAGCCACAAGGAAGCAGGGCTCCAGCCAATCCCAGGCAGTCTTGAGCCCAGCCCGCCGGCTCCTTGGGCAGGTGAGCAGGCACCTGTAGTAAAAGCTATCTGAGAAACGCTGGCACTTCCTTCTGCCACTCCAAGCCCTGAGGGCAGGGGTGGGGTGGCCTGACTCCCCAGGGAGTTGGTCTGGAGTGTCACCTGCTTCCCTGTGACTGGAGTCCCCACTGAATGGCTGAGGACAGAAAACCACCAACTCGGGCTGTGCTTTCCTGACCTGCCCATGGAGGCAGGCAGAGACCCTGGGAAAGGGCAGACCCCACCCCGGAAGGAGCCAGGTCCACTGCTGGGGAAATCCAGAGCAGATTCTGAGCCAAACACACCCCTCTCCCAATCTAGCACCTGACCACAGGGCACCTCCTGCCACTGGTGACACACACTGGCTTTCTGCAGAGCCAGGAGCCACAGCAAGGGAGGGGCCATGCTTGTCTCTGCCCCTGCACACCTGCTGATGTTTGTTTTCTGTTTATTTTTTGCCAGACCCACGATGTCCCCCTCAGGTCCTAGAAATGTTTTGTGAACTGCCTTCTTGGGGACATCCAAAGGCTACTTTAGCTGGGCCCCTGGTTATTACGGCTCACTGAGACCCTGATAGGATTTCCAGCCCTCTCCACTGGAGACCACACCTGGCAGGTGCACAGGCCACGCCCACCCAAGAGAAATCACCAACTGAGCCTGCCTGGCAGCTCCCCAGCCTCTCCAGGTGACAAAGCCAGGGGCCTGGTGACGTCCTCTCTGATTACCTGCAGCTGCCACTTCAAAATAATAGCTTCCTGCAAGTGAGCAGCAACTCCAGGGACTCAAGTCCATCCTAAGTCTGAGGGCCGCTGTGTCAGTCAGCAGTTGCCAGGCAACATGCACAGCAATGACAGAAGGCTCTAGGCAACCAACCTGTGTGATTCTGTAATATTAAAACCCAGGAGCAGGCAGGCGGCACTGGAGACTTCTGGAAATGGTTCCAAAAGAGTCCTAACTTGCTTTTCTGCTTTTCAAAATGCCAACTGCATAGAGAGTTCCAGAGTCGAATGGTTTACAGTTTAAAGAAGAAAGCAGAAGGAACATGGTGACAAAGGAAGGGGCTGGGCTCGAAGAGCTCGCCACAGTGCAGGTGGTTTCTATGCACCTGCCTTCGTCAGCGTATAGAGGAGGCGGAATCTGCAGGCCCACTGCCTCCGCCCTGGCAGGAGGGCTCTGCCGATAGCCATTCAGACTTGGCCCAGGGAAAGGGACAACAGGCTGGTAGGAGTTCCTGACTCCTAGGGCGGTTCAGGGGCCCACCCAGCACAGTGATTACTGAAGGGACAGGAACGGGGCCTGGGGCTGGTGTTCTAGAGTAGTCCTGGGAGCAGGATACTCTGCCTGCTGAATAAGCGAAGCCCTACCAGACCCACAGAGGCAATTCTGTCCTGCGCAGAGGCCGCCAGCCTGGCTTGGAGGGGTGGCCTCTGGCCCTTGTTATGTTCTATCCTCTCTTAGAAGCCTCGACACTGCTTTGTCACTGTGGTGGCCCAACATCTAGGATGATGCAGAGCAGCCCAATGTCCCCGACAAGACATGGCTCCAAACGGACATAGACAGCCTTGTGGTGGCACTGCAGGGTGGCCAGGCAACACGAGGTTCCCTGAAGAGCAGCGAAGCCAGAAGAGATTCAGGCCTCATGGTAGCACGCACACCTCCACACGTGGGCACTCCTGCACCTTGCAGGCTACCCCCGCCACCTCCAGCCCACGCTCACAGCACGGTTTGCATATTTCACACATCTTCTCTATTTTAACTAAAGTACTCAGGAATTTCTTTTCTTTGGTGCTTTGTCCTTAGCAATGCCCAAGTCATGTATCTTCTAGGACATCAGAAAACCAGATGAAAAGGCCAATAACACCTATGTGCCTCTACTAAATTGCAATTATGTGCCACAGAAAATATTTTATGAAAAAAAAAAAAAAGAAAAACCAAACCTAAAGCTTTGTGATAGGACCTGTGTCTTAGTCTGTTTTCTGTTGCTATAATTCAGGCTGAGTAACTTATAAAGAATAAAGGTTTATTTATCTAACTCATGGTTCTGCTATGAGATCCAAGAGGAGAAAGGCTACCTCTAGTAGGTGGCTTCTTGCTGGTGGGGTGTCTCTGTAGAGTCCCAAGGTGGCACAGGGCATCACATGAGAACCAAACTGGCTTTTAGAACAGACCCACTCAAGGTCAACTCATTAACCCAGGAATCCATGAACAGATGGATCCACGGACAAGGACGGAGTTCTCATGACCCATCATCTCTCGTAGGTCTCCTGTTCCCACCTCTTAATACCTCGCAATGGGGATTCAACTTCAACAGATTTGCTTTTTTAACAATTTGTTCTAATTAGTCATACATGACAGTAGAATGCATTTTGATACATCATACATAAATGGAGCATAACTTCCCGTTCTTCTGGTTGTACATGATGTAGGATTACACCAGTCACGTAATCCTATATACACGTAGGGTGATAATGCCTGATTCATTTTACTATCCTTCCTCCCCCCACGCCCCCTCCTCTCCCTTCATCCTCCTCTGCCAAAGTACCTCTATTCTTCCCTAGCCACCCCACCACCACCACTTAGTGTGGAATTAGCATCCACATAGCAGAGAAAACAAATGGCCTTTGGTTCTTTGGGATTGGCTTATTTTGCTTAGCATGATACTTTCCAGCTCTATCCATTTACCAGCAAGTGACAGAAGTGTACGAGTGAACCTTTTCCCCACATCCTTGCCAACACTGATTGTTGTTTGTATTCTTGATAATTGCCATTCTGACTGGAGTGAGTTGAAATCTTAAAGTACTTTTTTTAAAACTACTTAGCCTTTTTAAAATACCTTTATTCTATTTGTTTATTTTTATGTGTGCTGAGGATTGAACCCCGTGCCTCACACATTCAAGGCAAGCGCTCTGACACTGAGCCACGACTCCAGCCCTTAGAGTAGTTTTGATTTTCATTTCTCTAATTGCTAGAGGTTTAGTGGGAACATTTAAACTACAGTAACCTCCTTAGGTCCAAGGCTCATTTTATTCAGAGGCATGGGAATGTACCAGGTCCTAGGTGGCTTCTATTTACTCTCATCTAATGTTCACTAAAACCAGCAGTGAAACAAATGGTACCTCTCCATTTTGCAGGTGAGGAAATGGAGCATCTGAGAGGTCCAACAACTGGTCTAAGAACCACTAAAAAAACCTCAATGGACCATATGACCCTCAAATCAAGGCTTGCACCCCACCAAGTGTGAGCCCCTCCTCCTGATGGCAGCTGCCCCCAAGAAACCTGGCCTGAGGGTTTGGGGACCCATCAAGTCCTATCCCTTCTGGGCTGGCAACCTGGTCTGTGCATCAAAAGCCTACAAAATGCTCATTCTGCTGCTTTAGACATTCCAGCAGTCCCCTGTAACAGCTAGGGAACGTTCCACAGGCCCTTCAACTCGGCACACAGGCACACAAGGGAATGTCATGCATCACTAGAAACCAGTACCAAAAAAAAAAAAAATCACATGATGAAAAAGGATTTATGGACATGGGAGGATGCACACAATACTCAGCAAGGGGGAACAGAGGCTGCAACAGCGAGTATGGAGCCCCCTGACCACAGACTCTGCTTCAGAGGCTAGGCTGGGGCCAGAGAGCCCTACAATTCTGAGAGACTCCAGGTGATGCCCACGATGCTACCCTGGTACCTTCCGTGATGAGCATACTGTGAAATGGCGTGTGCAGTAAGAACACATTTTTATTTTTTTAAAAAACATCTCTCAGGGCTGGGGATGTAGTTCAGCGGTAGGGTGCTGCCTAGCATGTTCGAGGCCCTGGGTTCCATCCTCGGCACCACAAAACACCAAAGATTGCTTAGTGCATGGAAGAGACAGAGGAAAGTCCATGAAGATGCAAACTGCCTTTAAACTTCCTTGTTGTGCTTTTCTATGCCTTTTACCTTTCCTGAGACTGGACATGTGTTTTTCTCAGAATAAGTTCCAGTGATTTCCTGTGAAGACGAGACCGTGTGATAGGAAGAGATGGGGATTCGGGGCCTGGGATTCGGAGTTGAGTTACTAGCGGTCCCTGAGGCTCAGTTTCCTACCCGGAAGGCCCTGACGAGGCTGTAAGGACCACAGGGAGGCTCTATGTGGGTTTCTACCCTGTGCTTGGCACACAGAGGGGACTTTCAGGGTCAGGCCCCGCCCCGTCCACTGCTGGAACAAGAGCTCCTGTCCAGGAGAAGTGTCGGCTGTTCTCCCAGGCAGGTTTGCACTGGCTTCCCTGCTGGTCCCTGCACCATCTCAGCAGCAGAGAACTGGGGAGCTGCCATCAAGGTAGAGATTTCGGGCACTGACTTGCAAGGCAGGCAGCCAGCTTGCCCACGATGGCAGAGCCCAGCAGCTTGGGGACCCACCGGGAGCTTCTGCTCCCAGAGCATGGCTTCCCCTCTGGGCTCCACTGCTGTGAGTTCCCTCCACATATCCCACACAGACGGGGACCACAAATGGTTGCACTCTGACTTCAGGACAGGAACAGCTCCCGGAGCTCAAGTGCACTGGGACAGGAATACAGAACGGAGGCGTCTCAGGCCCTCCAGGACCCAGGCCAGGGGAGCCCTCCCAGGCCTCTGAGGGTAAGTCACCATTGCTCACTGGAGGATTTTAAAGATGTCCCAAGGTGCTTTAACTTGATGCAGAATTTTAAAACATTCAAGTTGACGAACTCCAGAAGAGGTAGGTTTGCTGACCTTAAGTTCTTTTCAGTTGCAAAGTCAGTTAGGTGCAACAATTAGGCTCCCAAGGACCCAGTGAGTACTGAGATCATTTAGACTGTCTGTTTCCAGTGGCTAGAAATGAGCTGACTGGCTCTGAAATCTGCCCCTGGCTATGAGTTGTTCACGGTTAACTTTTACAAGTGGTACCTGCCAGTTACATCCTTTTCTTGCTTAATATTTCAAAGTGAGGTTTTAGAGACCCTAGTGGCCCTCGTGGATTACACTGATCTCTAATCAAACCCAGAAAAAACAGAGCCGCCGTAGGACACAATGCGACACAGAGTTTCTCACAGTTCTCTCCAGCTGAGCATGATGCAGGGACCGTCAGGAACCCCCAGGGCAGTGCCCTTGCTAGGAGTCAGGAGCAGCCCTGCACCCATGGCCACCTGCAGCTAATCCCCATCAGATTCCAGGTACTTCATCTCAACTCCCAGGAGGCAAGAGAAGTCAATCAAGAACTTGGTCCTAAAGATGGGACCGGCGTTCTGGCCTCTTCTAAAGCCTTCCAGAAATCCATGATGTGGAATTGAGGGGCTCCTGGGGCTCCTTGGAAGATCCCTGGACAAGGGCTGACTCGGCCAGCAGTGCCTGCTGTTCTGACCTGGGGTTGGCCTGTGGTGGTCACCCCATCGCCCCTTTAGAAATAGGCCCCAGTCACAGGTGATAAACATACGGGTATTTCCTGCAAGGAAAAGCTCATCCTTTCCACTGACCACTGCAGCACTGCTTCCAACTGGGGCAGCTCATTAAGGCAACCCTGTCCCTGGGACTCCTAGGAGGAAAGCAAGGCATCTGCCCCAAACCAACCACCATGCCCCAGAGCCCAGGTCAGCTACTCAACTTGCTCTTTATTTCACTCCCTCCTGGGGCCCGCATGCTGCAGGGGCAGTCACAGCTTGTACACACAGGTGCAGGAATGCCATGCAAGCGTCAGTCCCTAAAGCGTCGTGTCCCTCTACACAGTGGCAAGGTCCCCAGTCATGTACACCACAAGTCACAGGAGAGTGTGGAACTGGTCCCTCACTCAGCAGACGAAGGTACAGCTGCAGACAGAGACGCCACTGATGGTCAATTAGCAGCAAAGGCACCACTCAATGACAGGCCCCCGACCTCCAGATCCTGCTCCTCTCCTACAAGGTGCCGCTCTGCTAGATCAACAACTCCCAACACTGAGCCCCCCAGCGACAGCTGCCAGGCTTATCAGTTTCTCTATGAGGTGAGAGGAGGTTGTCTATCTTTGACGGGGAAGAAGGACAGTCCCAGCTGACAGCCAGAGCAGGAGAGAACAGAACAATCCTGGAACAGCAGGCTGTTATCCAGTGTTCTATCAGCCGGCGGCTCCGTGCAGAACTGCGCTCGGGAACCTGGCGGCCTGATGAGTAAGATGCCCAGCTAGAGATGATTCAATGTGGAGGCATCAGGAACACTGGGAGATGGCAGGTTGCAAGAGACTAAAGAAAGAGACTCCAGCACGGAGGACAGAAATAGAGGGGTGCCACACAGAGCCAGTGTCTGCACTTATGAAAAATAAATATGTCAGGAACCAGTCAGCTAATGAAATCGAATACTTGTCCCTGGTGAGTGAGCTGGCACTTTGTAAATCAAATTACACGGAGGACACCAATCCGCCCTCGTGGGCATGCAGGACACTGTCTGCTGTCAATAACTGTGAACTCTTTTCCTGTTCACCTGCCTCACGGGCAGCTCCTACATTTTCCATCAGCCAATACCCCAAGCTAAGCCATGACCCTGCAAACTGGTCCATGCTTGGGAGCAAAAGCCAGAGTGCTCCAATGATCTCCAGGACCCGGGAGAACACTCAGGTTTTGGAGATGGAGGTGAAGATTTCTGGAAATCATGAAGTTATTGAAAACAAACTGCATGCTTGCATCTATTTGCCTATGTTTTTTAAATTGAGAATAAAAATACAGGTAACATTTTAATCCCCCATAAGTCCAAAATCATCTTGCTAGCTTAAGACTAAAAAGGCATTAATGTAATTTCCATTTTAACTTAACTTAAAAATAGTTAAGACTACCAGTATTAATGTACCACACAGCTTAAATCTACTGTTAATTTTTTTTAAACTTTTCCATTTTGTTACAAGCTATTGATGTTCAAGGAAAGTTCCTCCTGAATAGGGATTTTTGCCATTAGCTTAGTGAGGGCCAGGCTACGTGGAATTCAGCTTAGTGTTCACAGCCCTGAGGATGTGTTGGAGCAGAATACACATAAAAAGCCTTAATAAATGCATCCTAAGTTTAGTTTTTAACAAGTTTTCACTAACTACAGCTTCTGCTTTTAGAGATGCTTCATTTTTACCACAAGGAAAGATAAGGCCAAGTGGCCACATGGGGCCCACTTGCTGATCATCTATGACCTGTCCTTGGCAGACATCAATAATCAATCCTGTGAGCAATTCTCAGGATTTCTCTCAGTACAGTACTTAGGGCCAGCCGCCCAGATCTGCACTCACCTGAAAGCCTGCTGCCAACATTAGCAGAAACAGAATAAATGTGTAGAACTGGGTCCTAGGCTTGGCTCACGACTGACAAGCTACTAATAAGCAGAGTGACACGCAACAAGTCACTTTCTCTTTGGGTCTCAACTGTAAGGTAAATGACTTGGACTGTTACCTAATACGCCATCTTACGATCTTTAAAAAAATGAAGGTCTGTACAACTGGCATGAACTTTTCTTTTTATATAAAGATGTTGTAGTTAGCCAACATCTAAAACATATTGGAGCTGAGGCCAATACACATTTTCAAAATCTAGTCCTCAGATGGTTGTGATTCAGAAAAATGAATGGCCATGGTAATACCCCAGAAAGTCTGTCTGCCCTTCCTGCCACCTGCCCCCACACAGCCCCGCCGAGTGCTCTGCACATCCTGGCCTAAGGAAATGAGCACCCTTTGCCTCATCCACACACATCAGCAGCTTGTTCCAGCACCCTGGTCCCCAGGGCTTCGTCTCCCTGCACCCTCCCTCTGAGCGCCTGCTCATCCACAATTAGTTTGTATCCATCTCTCTCCCTGGACTTTTTAGCTCCCTTGAGAGCAGACACTGGTTCTTTGCCTCTTGGTATTCCTAATACGCGCACACAGAAGGAGCGCAATAAATATTTTATGAATGAGTGACTCTCATCGCTGAGGCTTATAAAACCCAAGGAGAATATTCATCAAGTAAGAAACCTGGAGTCACTTTTAAAAATACATATTTTTAGTTGTAGATGGACACAATACCTTTCTGTGGTGCCAGAGATTGAACCCAGCGCCTCACACATGCTAGGCAAGTGCTCTACCACTGAGCCCCAGCCCCAGCCCCAGACTCACTTTACAGTCTTTTCAGTGTTAACTTTCTTCCCAAGATCTAAAGAAAAACAAAAAGCTCCCAAATAGTTGATTTTTATTTTATTGGAGCCATTTGGTATGATTCTCTAACAAAGTGCCCCTGTGTGATTCAGATGCGGGGGTTGGTTTGGTTTGACAGAAATATCTTCCTCTTTTGTAATTCCGAGACATCACATTTGGAGAGCGAGGACATGAAGCGGTTTGGGAACACATGTGGCTCATTATGTGAAGACAACTAATATTCTAAATCATGATAGCCTCGGTATTTTAAAGACCTGAAAAAGACAACAAAGTCCCCATTTTCTTAAATATTTCCATGGGGGCGGGCAGTTTACAGATGGCCCACACCATTCAGCACTTACACTGCCCCGGGGGTCATGGCTGGCCTCCTCCAGGAGACTCTGAAGTCTTTGAGGATAGTACCAATAACCTTGATGCCTTCTGGAGATGCCCTGGTGCTGAGGACATAGTGGTTACTTAATGAAATGCACAGGTAAACACGGGGCGACACAGTAACCTGGTGACCCTCCTGTCGGCAAGGGTCACTGCAGCCATGGCAGGGTCCTGGAGTCCTCAGGGAGCCATAGCCAGGGATCCCCCCTCTGCCTGTGGGCAGGATCCCGCCAGCAAACAAGGGTTGGGGGTTTCTCACTCTTGCAGCAAGCCAAAGCAGGACAAGGACAATGGCAGCTTACTGCTACTGCGTGCCAGCGACTGTTCTGAAGAGGCCATATCCATTCTTCCCTTATATGGAAGCTGAGTTAGACAGGATCGTGTTCCTTGGAGCCAGGTGCCGGTCATTTCTCAAAGACTGAGTCAGGCCGGGGTCTATCTCAGTGATAGACGGTTCCATCCCCAGCCCAGGAAGGAGGGAGACAGGCAAAGACAGAGTCACCAGGTGGCAGGTGGGACACACAAGCAGCAAGGGTACAGGGGAGGGGTGGGGGGAGGAAGCCGGCGTCTCCTGGCAGCCAAGCCCCCAGGACCACGGGACTCCAGTGTCTGAGCGGTGTGTCTTCAGGTGCCTCTCGAGAGGGAGTCACGGGATTCCGCCTCTGGCTCTCAGGCCTGAGGTGGGGAGAGGAGCCCCACAGGGCTGGATCCCGCGTCCAAGGAGTCTAACCTCTGGCTGAAGCCAGGGCAGAGCGGTGCAACTCCACCTGGAATGCACGGAATGCTGGGTAGACAGGGAAGGGCTGGGCTCCTGCCACGGCTGGCCAGTGCCCTGGACCTGACCTGGGTGAATGTGACACCTCCACCTCCTTCCACCAGCTCTGCCACTCAGGCCGCTAGGGCTGGAGGAAGCGGACTGGGTGTTCTTTTTAAGCTTGAGGTGCTGAGAGGTAAGCCCACCTGCAGATCCTGGCTGACACATGCCACGAGTGGACTTGACACTTGCCTTAAACCGAGTGGACAATCCGACGCATGGAGAGGCAGCGGCTCTGGCTTCTACCCAGAGGCAGTGGGATGAGCCTGAGTCCGTGAAGATGAGTCGGGTTACAGGCTTTCGTATCCAGCTGCCAGGCGCCTGCAGGGGCCTCGAGGAGGGCACGCTAGTGCCCTGCCACCCCAAGAACCCACCTCTGGAAGGCTCTGGGAGCCGCAGCCTCAGTGCTCCCGGCACACTTGTTAGATCTCAGGGCTCTCGCACTCCGCCCAGATCTCAAGACCCCGAGGTGATTCCTCTGTACTTGAAATATAAGAACCCACTTCAGATCAACAGGACTGGGGCAGGGGTCAGTCATTTTAAAGGCCCCAAGTGACTTCTGAATAAGCCAGGGTAGAGAACTCCTGTTCCAGAGGCAGGTCAGGACCTGTGGGTGTGACCCTCATGTCATCAGGGGAGGCTTCAGTTGGAGTAGGGGGCGGGAACATGCCCCGTGTACATAAGCCTGCTCACCTGCAGGACAAGCAGCTGCCACCAGCTCGGTACCTGTGCCACCCAGCAATGGAGGCCAATCACGGCCAAGAGTGTCCCCCTGGTCTGTGAGCTGGTGGCGGAAGCTGGGCACTCAGCACCACTGCGGGAGGGGAAGGAGCCCACTTCTGAGAGGGCCTCCTAGGATTCAGGCTTAGGTGAGAACATCTGCCTTCTAGGAATGGCTAGGCTGCACCACTTGGGGTTCCTAAGGAAGGGCCACCATACCCTTCAAACCCTGGGTGAGGGTCTCGGGGGGTAAGGGCAATGAATCTAAAACAGAAAATGGGAAGCACACAGTTCCATGTCCAATGTACACAGTCACCAAAACAAAGGTTTTCACTTGAGTTGCTGAAGGTCAGATAAAGGAGAGCCCAGGGATGCAGCCCCCTAGAGACAAGAACTCATCCGGGGGAAGTCAAGATGACTTGGGCTGTATCCACGCAAAATTCGTGGTGAGGAGCTGCCCCACGCCCAGGAGGTGCTGAGCAGAGGGGACTGCTTATCCAGCAGGGCTGGAAACTGTGATCCTTCAGGGATTCGCTAGGAACCTGCCAAGGCCACAATGTAACACACTGTCTAGCCCCAAGACAGGAACTACAGACGGGGCCTAGGCATAAGCCAGTCAATCCTGCTCTGTCCCCTGGCAAGTGACTGTTTCAGGATAAGTGAGTGAGTCAAGGAGAGTGAGGCTTATGGCTTTTGGGAATGGGTGGAAACAGATATTTCTTTACTCTTGGACCTAGGAAGATTTGAGTCTAGAGAGGGAAAAAAGTAAGCAAATATACAGGGGGGGACTCTGGAGTCCTGGATCCAGCTGTTTCTGAAGTTGGAGATCTGTTGCTTTCCAATTATATAAGCCATAACTTCTGTGACTGGATTTTTTTAAAAAAAATAGCTATTCAAGACTTTGCAAACCTTACCTGCAAGAGTCCCAACTAATGCCCTGAGCAAATAGGAGCTGGTTGAGTGACATCAAACCATTTGAACCCTTGGAAGCTGCCTGGACATGCTTTCTCTGGTTCCACTTATACATCTGTAGGACAAAAGGGCTTGGTGTCTTTTCTGAAGAGCTACACCTAGAACAGGTGGAAAAACAAGCTGTAAGGGTGGTGTGAGTAAAGGGAGGGTCTGTTTGCTATAGATTTCACAGGGCAGAAGCATGATGATACCTCTCTGTCAGAGTCACATAGAACAGCTCAGTAACCAGCAGATTGAGCAAACGTGAATTCCCAACCCTTGCACATGCCCAGTGTGTTCAAATAGCCTCCCTTCTTCATCAGGTGGGACAGAATCTGGCAAAGGATGAAGAGCCTTCGAGTGAGACAGACCTGGGTAGACACAGGGAGTGGCAACAAGACCCTCAGGTAGAAGGATCTGTGATGGCAGGTTTAGGAGAGCAAGCCTCAGATTTCTCCCATGGGAGTCCTGAACCCCAGGAGGAGCCAGGCAGCAGAAAGAAATCTATGCTTCGGGGTGGCCAAGGCCGGGCAGGTGGCCAAACACAAAGGGCCCACAACGAGGCAAGTCTCCGTGCCAACCCAGAGTGACCAGCACAGGGGCAGGAGGGTAGATGTGCTGGTGGACCGCCTCGAGGCATGGAGGACCAACAGTGTTTCTCCACCCAGATTCCCAGGCTCCACTACCCACCTCCAGGAACTCAGATGCTCCCTGCTGTGTGCTCAGAGATGGGAAAACCACCCAGCTGGCTGGGACTAAGATAGGCTGGCCGTCACTAGAGGGCTCAAAGCAGAGAAGAAACTCTAAGTCGTCCTTCGCAGGCTCCTGTGGAGCCCAGCAGGGGTCCTGCCCACAGCAGGCGCTCCAGGAAGGGCAGCAGTGGTTCTGCACTAACAAAGACTGTGCTTGCATGGAGTTCACATAAAGCACCACTAGTGAGACTGACCGGAAATGACCAAGCCCCAGCAACCAAGCGGAGGGGCCAATCTAAGCTGGAGTGGGATGGAAGTGTGCCACCTTGTTGTCCACGCTGC